AATTAGGGTCCCTTTTTGGGTCCTTCTTGTAAGGACACCTCTTTCCGGCTTCCACTGGCATTCTAGGGGAGAGGATGAGCTTCTGCAAAGGATTTGGCATTAGGGCCGTGGGGTAGTTTAGGATTTAGGGTATAAGGTATCGGTTTAGGGTATCGGGTTTAGGGTTTAGGGCATCGGGTTTAGGCTATAGAGCTTAGGGTATGGACCCAAACAGGTGCCATGCTAACTTGTTTAAACCGAACTAAACCCCTGAAGCCCAAACAAACCCCGAAAAAACCTCGAAGCACTTGTAGACCCCGAAAAGGAACCCTAGAAGCAACCCGAGAGCCTGGCCTCATCTCCCTCTGGGATGGATGAGTCTTGGGCGGGAAGTGGCTCCTTCAGCCTTCGAGAGGTTTAGGGTTTAAGGTTTAGGGTTGGCCTTCGAAACACGCAACAGTCCTTTCTGTACGGATTAGGGCTTAGGGTTAGCCCTCGAAAAAGGGTTTAGGGAGCCACCTCAGCCTTTCGGATTCAGGGGTATTGGGGCTCAGCTTTCGATGCTTTGAAAAGCTTCGAGATGTCCTGCACGCCAGACCCGAAGAACCCGGAAGCAAACAATAACACATGAATGGTAAATACTAGCGGCAATTGGCAATACGGAAAGCAGTAGTTTACAGCAAACATCAGCCTTCACACTGTAAACCATGCTATCTGAGTATAATGCCAATAGGCCTCAGTCTATAGCGACAAGCAGCGTCAGAAATCCAAAGTACTCATACTGAGCTAGTACCACGGTGAGGCACTGCCAACAACTACAGCCTTCTCTCCGTTTCTCTGACTCACAAGCCCTCTGAAGCCTAAGTCGCAGGAAAGGGGGCGCCTCTCAAGCCGTCTTTGGGCTGCAGCGATGAGAGGCGACTGCCACAGCACGGTAAGGCCACACAAGGCTTGGGCATTCGGGAGGTGGGTGAGAGCTTTGGGGTCGACAAGGTTGATGAACTTGCTTATGGTTTGGAAGTTTATGGTTTGGGAGCCCCTAAACTCTAAACCCTAACCCTGGGAGGTGTAGTTCCAATGATGGTAGAAAGCCGTGACCAGGCTGAGCTTATGATGCTGTTGGTGGTGATGAAGGGAGCATCGGCCCCACAATAACACGACGGGCACTTCCTTCCACATCTTCTGATAGCACTGCTTGTGGTTCAGCTAAGCTACCGTAAATGCCAAAGACATCAGCCCTTCAGCTGACTCCGGAGATACCAGGGCCTTGTGGTTTCCGGTTCCGCGGTTCAGGGTTTAGGGTTCCGCGTTTGAAGCCCGTGGTTCACTTGCTTGCGCCGGATCTTTGGGTGCAATCCCATAAGGCAGGCAATAAACGGTTCAATTTGCAATTCGGGGCTTGCATCAGCGAGCAACGGATTCGTGTGCAGCCACAGATGGTTTAGGTTCGCGCAGGTGCGATTTTAGCATCCGGGCGGAACAGGGTCTTCTCTGTTGTGCACCTTAAAGCTTTACTCAGAGAAGAATGGGACCTAGTAACTAACTAAGGTTATAGATAAAACAACTACACTCTATTCTCATAACCGCGTACAACCCCGTTTAAAGAACATAAAACCTGTCTCAGCAGATCTCCTGATCCTCCACATAGACCCTGAACCCGAAGACCTTTCTAGATCCTTTAACGGAACCCTCAAAAACAGTCCGATTATAGAACGCTATAGTATCTATACCTGGGACCCTGGATCTGGTAA